GGAAGGAAGGTTGGGCAATCCTACTTCCGTAGTGATACTGCCTCGGAAACCCAAGGAGGGGTCGCTGTGAGTCGGGCCGACTCGACGGCAAACAACAACAACAACAAGGCTATTGTAAGAACAGATGATCTACTACATGTTAAGATGCTTTATGAACTATTACTCACTGCAGTTGAGTCGATTCCAACTCATAGTGACCCCACTGGGTTTCCAAGTCTGTAAACCTTTACAGAAGCAGACTGCCTCATCTTTCTTCCATGGAGTGGCTGTTGGGTTTAACCACCAACCTTTTGGTTAGCAGCCAAATGTCTTAACCGCTACACCATCAGAGTTCCTTTTGTGAACAATTAATGGCCCCATAAAGATCAACTGCTATGGTGTTATATCATATTGTTAGATGATGATGATGATGATGATGATGATGATGATGATGATGATGATGTGTTGATGACAAAGCTACGAGTATGGGAGGAAGAAACAATAGGACCAAATAGAGTAGCATTTCATGGAAGATAGTGTTAAGTCTTTGTCTTTGAAGGGCCTCGAATATAAAATGTAGTTTTTTAATGTGTCTACTTTTCTGACTTCAGTTTTTAAAACTCTTCCAGATGAATGCCCAAATACAATTCCTTTAAAATATTTTATATATGTTATAGTGCTTTATTCTACAGCTACAGCCCACTATAAGCCTGACTATTTTTTATTCTTTCCCCTAATTATCCCACCTCTAAGAATCACCTTAGAACATACCTTAGGCCTGAAATAGTGTTTCCATCCTAGCTTCCAATGTTTTTTCCCTTCTTTAAATCATCTTGTGATACATCTTACCTTCTTCAAAAACTGTACCCTAACTTAGAAGAGGAATACATTTTATGTTGAGGGTGTCAATGTATTTGTTATAAACAGTAAGTATCACAATTCAATTTTTAAATAACTTTATCAAATGATAAGTTTTTTTAATAAATCAAGGAAAAGTAAAAATTATCCCTCTATTAATGCCAGCCTTACTCATTTGTATTCTAGTATGTGTTCTTTGAGGAGGTAAAAGGTTAATAATAATTTTAAAAACACTTATTTAACAATCATAGCAATTACCATGTCAGGCATCATTCTAAATTATCATTTAATCTTAAAAACAACATGAGAAGTAAGTGGTATTATCAACCCCTTTTTAGAGGAGAGGCTCAATTTTTAGAATTGAGGCACAGAAATTTAAGTACCTTCCTGAAGACTATGCAGAAAATAATGGATTACTACTCTTCAGAATCTTAAAATTTTAACTCCAGAGTCTATATCCTAAGCACCACACAACCCTGTGTAAAGTTAAAGACTGAGAGTGAATGGAGTTGAGAAGGACGCTTGCCTGTATATATACACATTTGGTTTAGTATATATCTAGGAGTATGTTACCCACCCAAATGTCCTCTTTTCATGTCAGTAGAAAAAAATTGAGAACTTCTCTAGTCCACTGGGAGGGAGGTGGCAATACCATCATTTATAATTCCCATCTCTAGTCTTCTCTTGTTTCACCACCAAATTCATGAACCATCCGTATACAATGAAAATGCTAATTTAATAACCTTTATATTATGCTCCTCTCTGTTTATTGAGAGTGGTGTGTTTATTGTAGGAGACAGCGATCTCATCTATATCATACTATAAAAAAACAACACCTCACTGCCATCGAATTGGATCCAATTCATAGTGAACGCTCCTTGGGTTCTGAGGCTGTATCACTACGGAAACAGATTGCCCAATATTCCTCCCAAGGAGTGGCTGGTGGGTTTGAACCATCAGCCTTCTGGTTAGTCAAATGCCTTAGGCACTACTCCACCTGAGCTCCCATATCATACTATAAGAGATAATATTAGGGTAAACCAAAACCAAACTCATGACTATAGAGTCAATTCCAATTCATAGCAATCCCCACTGGGTTTGCTTTTAGGCAGCAAATATTTATGGAAGTAGACTTCTCCATTTTCCTTCTGCAGAGCAGCGGGTAGGTTTGAACCGCCAACCTTCTGGTTAGTAGTCAAATGCCTTAGGCACTGCACTACCAGATCTCCTTAATATTAAACTAAAAAACTAAACTCACCACCGTGGCATCTGATCCGACTCATAGTGACCCCTCCTTGGGCTTCTGAGGTGGTATCACTATGGAAGTAGATTGCTCAATCTTCCTTTCAAGGAGTGGCTGGTGGATTTGAACCTCCAGCCTTCTGGTAAGCAGTCAAATGCCTTAGGCACTATGCCACCAAACTCACTGCCATCAAGTCAATTACAACTCATAACAACTCCTCTTTGGATTTCCAAGGTAGTATCTCTATGGAAGTAGATTACCCAGTCTCCCTTCTGAGGAGTGGCTGGTGGGTTTGAACCACCAGCCTCCTGGTTAGTAGTCAAATGCCCTAGGCACTATGCCACCAGAGCTCCTTAATATTAGGATGTTATGTTATTTGCTGTTGTTTGCCGTCGAGTCGGCCCTGACTCATAGCGACCCCTCCTTGGGTTTCTGAGGCAGTATCACTACGGAAGTAGGATTGCCCAACCTTCCTTCCGAGGAGTGGCTGGTGGGTTTGAACCGCCAGCCTTCTGGTGAGCAGTCAAGTGCCTTAGGCACTATGCTACCAGAGCTCCTAATATTAGGATAGAGGGTACCAATTTCCTATTTCGATCTAACCCAGCAATGAATGGGAAATGAGGTGAGGAGGAGAAAAAGTAACAATACACATAACATAATATGCTTTTGATTTGGAACAGTAAAATGAGATAAAGTAATCAGGTGGTTTCTATTGTTTCCATGATGCATCAATCAATATTCTGTTAAAGCCTTATTATTTATATTTTCCTCTCCTTTTCCACAGTATTTTTGTCTAACATATATCTGCTATGATCACATCAATGATTCTCTTGCTTAGAACTATGAGAATTTTCAGGTTACCTATGGTCTCTCTGGGATCTCTTACTCCTTCTGGAAGTGTTTCTTGACAGCTCAACCAATATTGATTTATACTTCAATACTTGTGGCCTGGGTTTGTCATTTGATCTATGCAGCTCTTTCTGTTATTGATCACTTTTCCTTGTGTGACAGTCTCATCTTCCTCTTAAGACTCTGAGTTCAGAAAAGGAAATTTCTTATGCCTCAACATTGTCCTTTCATTATGCCCAGTCCTACGCCAAACATTGTGGTCAGTATTATCTCCATAAATATGCTACCATTAAGAGGAAAGGACACAGTTTATCAGGATCAGCAAATAACCAAAGATTACTGTATTCATCCTCCAGTGCTTCTATAAGAGCAAATGGCTTTAACACACAGGAGTTTATTCTCTTACAGTTTAGGAGGCTAGAAGTCCGAACTCAAAGTGCCGGCTCTAGGGGACAGGTGAAAGCCCCTTGACCTTGGGCTCAGCCCTGCTTCCTGTTCCAGGCCCAACAGAACTGGAGGCTTTTTCTGACTCATGAAGCTGCTGGCTGCTGAGACTAAAGAACCCAACATCTACGGGTAAAATGGCACAGTCCCAAGATTCACAGACAACAATAGTACAAACCTAGGAAACAATCCCCAGATCGTCAGGCAATATGGCAGGCTACTGAGATGAAGACTCGGCCTGACACAGAATCCAGATGTGCCAAAAGACCTTCTGGAAGCTTCTCTTTATCTACTGGAAGCAGGCCACACCCCAAAGGCACCTCTCCTTCAACTGATTAGCTGCTCACAGCAGATTCTACCATGGAGATGATTATAATCTCATCATGGGGAATAACTACATCCAGCT